TGTTTGAGTTATGTCGCATGGTTGGATTCTAAAGCCATCAAAAGAATCAATTTTGTGATTTACTGCTACAATTAATAATTGTCTCAGTAAATGCCCAAACCCTACAGAACTGGTGCCTTCAGAGAGCCACTCCATTTACATTTTGGCTATGATTACATATTTGGCGTCCCTGAGCCGGTTTTCTTACACAACATTCTGCATTACTGCTCGAGAATTCATTTGTTATCCCAACCAGTTGATGTCAATTTAATTCCTAAGAGTTATGTACTTGTTTTGAGTATCTAGTGTAGAAGTTGTAACCAAGTTCATTTACGAGACGGTCTAAATGAATGATATACTGAATGTATGTCCTCTTGGTATTGGTAACTCTTTGTGATTAAATATATACCTTTTGTATTCTGCTAACCCTCTCGATAAGATCTGTTATGTTTATATGCAATTTTTTATGTATTAATAAATGCATTCTCGTGTATTAGTACCTGTGTGTGTGTGTTGTTTGAACTATACCACAAAGTTGGATTCTAATACCATGAAAAGAATCATTTTGTGACTTACTGCCACAATTAAGAATTGTCCAAGTAAATGCACAAACCCCTACATTACTGGTGCCTCGTGAGAGGAAACTCCAGGCTTCATCAGGGTTCGGCCAGAGGATCAGATGACGTCTGTTCCAGAGTTTTGAAGGCTTGTGCTGATCAGCTAAGTGATAAGTGCTCCAGCACTTATTCAACCTGGGTCTGTGCTTGAAGAGAGTATCTGTGCTCTGGAAAACATCATGTCTAGTCCTGGTACCAAAGAAAGGGCGTCCCTCTGTCCTCAATGACTATAGACCAGTACCACTGAATTCTCATGTCATGAAGACACTGGATAGGCTGGTCTTGTCCCACCTGAGACCCCTGGTCAGTTCATCACTGGACACCCTACAGTTCGCCTACCTGCCCAATGTTGGTGTGGAAGATCATCTAAATTCTATAAAGGGCCTACTCACACCTGGACAAGGCTAGCCTCCTAATAAAAGGAGGAATAATAGCTAATCAAATAACTGAAGACAGAGTACAAAACCAACGTTAAGGAAGGCAGAAAGGAAGGCAAACTGTCTGAGAAAATCATGGGTAAACTGTTTAAGAGAAGATGGCCCCAAGTGAAAAAGAAAACAGATTTCAGCAAGCCAACCAAATAATATTTTTCAACTTCACATCACAAAATAAATGTGCTGCTCTCCAGTCCTCAGAATCAGACAGAGCTTAAAGTAGTCACTGATAGGAGATCTCAAACAAAGGTCTCAACTAGAATTACAGGTAGTAATACCAAGAATACAAAAAAAAATTGTGACCATGAGGTGACAACAGTGTGCTGTCTATCTGTATCTAATGTGTATAATACCATAGAGATAATAGGCTCCTATCTTAGGCAGGTGACATCCCACTTACTGTTATCCAAGTAGGCAAAATATTGGTATAAACAGCACACATTCCATTTGTAACAAATTCAGGCAACTTGGTAGGAAACTAAATAAAAGGACAAAATAAAACTAAATAAAATGACTCCAGAAACATTTAAAATAGTTTGGAAGGAGGGGTGGAAGGAAATTGAACAAATTACAAAAGAAGAGGTATTTTTTCAACTTTACCCACATAGACTTAAAACTATAGGAATGTCATCAGCACAAACTGAAATAGAAGAATTGTTTGACAGCATTCTTGCCTACTTTGTTGGAAGAGGTGTTAGTGGGTCCAGCAGAGGGCGCTCACCCTGCGGTCCATGTGGGTCCTAATGCCCCAGTATAGTGACGGGGACACTATACTGTAAAACAGGCGCCGTCCTTCGAATGAGACGTAAAACCGAGGTCCTGACTCTCTGTGGTCATTAAAAATCCCAGGGCGTTTCTCGAAAAAAAGAGTAGGGGTGTAACCCCGGCGTCCTGACCAAATTTCCCATTGGCCCTTACCAATCAAGGCCTCCTAATAATCCGCCTCTATGAATTGGCTACATTACTCTGCTCTCCTCCCCACTGATAGCTGATGTTTGGTGAGCGTTCTGGCGCACTATGGCTGCCGTCGCATCATCCAGGTGGATGCTGCACATTGGTGGTGGTGGAGGGGAGTCCCCATTACCTGGAAAGCGCTTTGTGCTTTGAGTGGAGTGTCCAGAAAAGTGCTATATAAGTGTAAGCAATTATTATTATTATTATTATTATTATTATTATTATTATTATTATTATTATTATTATTATTATTATTATTATTATTATTTGTTGGAGCATGGACAAGAGGAAATTCTTGTAAAGATCCAATGAGGACATAAAATTAAAAACAGGAGTCACTTTTTTAACCAGATGGTTGCGTGAATTTGGAACACACTACCCAACCATGTTGTTTAAACCGATTCCCCCCTTTCTTTCAAATGGTTGGATTATAACAATGGATAAATTAGCTACATACAAGTAAACTAGCTAAATGGGCCTAATGGTTTCCTTTTCTTTGTAACTGTTCTTATGCTTTTATGATATCTTTTTAAAGCTTTATGATGTGTAGATGTTAGTGATTTTCCATATGATATTTTTTATAGGACCCAAAAAATAAAGTCCTTAATGTACGGGTGAATCTGTTCGACAGAAGATTCAAATGTTCCTTACCAAACACTTTGAGAACAAGCTCTTCCTCTACCACCCCAGCTTTGTTTGTTGCCTTGCAGAAATAGGATCCTCCATCGTCTTGCTTGATGCTACAGATAGTCAGCATGGTACCTCTTCCCTTCAGAACATATTGGTCAGATTCTTCAATCTGTTTACCCCTCCTGCCAACAGAGAGATAGCAGTCACATAGCAGTCACACAAGATAGCAAGGCTTCCACTTGACAGTTTAACTACATTACACTATGTCAGTTTGAATGTGCATGCAGTGGTGAATGAGGCTCTGGACTTTCCCTGCATATAAAAAATTATCAGCCACAACCCTTTCTTGTTGTTGGAATATAAGATCTGTGAAAGGTGTGACAGTACTGTACAGTATATTGGTAACATTTATAGTAATCAAAAATCTTGACACTGAAATTGTATTTAATGAAGTCACTACTTGAACTGTTCAATATTTGACTCGGTCATTCTAAGAAGACTGTGCCATTAAAAAAACAATTATCCAAAGTGTCTTTTTTCAAACCAAAACATTGCAGTCCCATGACTTCTTAAGACTTTTAATTTAAAGTTCTTATGTTATTCTACCAAGGTAAGCAATCCTGCAGTGTTAACTTGTTCTTTTAAATTAAAAAAAAACAATCCTACTGGTTTAATTTGGCAAATTTTTAATTAAGGGCAAAATGTAATGTTACAATATTTTAATTAAAAGAATAGTTACTGCAGTGTTTTAATTGACATCATATTTCATCTTCCTTGAACCCAATCTCTGTTATTTATATAAAAGTAAGCTGTTGCTTACTCATTTTAATGTCCTTTCTCCAGAACTCGTTTTTCTTTCAGCTTTTTTTCTTGGCATTATTTCAGGAACATTGTAAAAATGTTGTTTATGAATTGTAGGAAATCTATGAACACTAACTTCCTAGATGGTATATTTTTGTAATTCATTCATAAAATGTTAACATGGTTTATTTCCTATACACTGGATGACTAGAGCAGTATCTGATTGTAATTGTCATTAATATTCTATTGATAATCCAAGATAGCCTAGTGAGTGATTTTTAAAAAAAAACCCTGGGTACTTGGAACAACAGTGCTGATAGTTAAGATTAATTTTCATCAGCTGTTCTGAATCTTTTGTTTTTTGATAATTCTTTGTAAAAGACAATTATTTAACTCCTGTTTTTTCCCCTAGTATTACACCAGTGTTGCACACAAATTAATTCCGATCTTGAAAAGTTTTTTATATGCTCAAAGATTATAATAGTTCTAAAAAATTACTGAGAACTGAAAGTCAGTAATTTCCTAGACATAATACTTGGAAAATTAAATGTGAAAAACAACTTTTATGTGTTGGTAAAAACCTTGGCTTCAGATTTTATTTCCACTCTGATTCTGTTTCAGATATTACAAGCTCATTTATTAAGCCTCTTGATATTTAAGTAACCTTTATAAAATGTCATTTATTAATTTGTAGATAAAGCCAAACATAACAATAGCATTTTTACGTTCTTATTGTGTGCTGTATGCATCTGGGCATTTTAAAAATATTTAGCTATTTTTTCATGCTTACAGAGTCTATCATACTAAATGATGTACAGTAACATAGTTTTGATTTCATTAAGTTTTGTATTTGAAAAATGTGGTATACAATTTAATAAGTTGCATAATATTTATATTTGTCCACATTTGACCTTGAAATTGAACACAGGGCTTTGAACCTGAAGGGAATTAAATGTATATATTTTAAAACATTAAGAATTATTGTTGAAAATGAGAATCACTCACTATTGCAATAAATACCATTTTACATTTCTGATATATATTTATAGTTACTGCTTTAGGTGACTGGGAAGTGACTCTTAAAGTTGTGTAAACATTTCTAGATTCAAAGCAGACTGGATATTTGCTGAGACGTTGGGGGTCACCTTATCAAACCAATTGTAATGTTTACCTTGGTATACCTAGGTAATTAAGTCACATGTTAATGATTGTCAATAAGCAGTACAGAAACCCACCATATAAGATCAAATTAAGACCAGGGGGAGAAAAACAACAAGACAGAAGAGGACAAGAATAGAGACAAGAGAAGAGTAGAATTTGAAGCTAGGGTCAGATGAGAGCCCATACTTCATGATCATCCAAAGAAAACCTGACTGGAGCTACGTATTTGAACCTGAGCTTGCTATTCTGTGTTTTGAGGGAACTTGGGTTTCCTGGGTAAAAGATACCTCGGTTAGAGACATCTTTCCTGCTTAGGGTGCTTTTTTAGAGCAGGGAGATGGGCTCCCATTTATGTTGTGGCATCCAGGGTGCAGAGACTTAACTGCAGGTTGTATTACATTTATTTAGAAGGCAGTGTATCTCTTATTTGGCTTCTGTAAGCATCATTTAAGAGTTTCATATTTAGAAGAAGTCTGGGGTTTTTCTGGGTGATTAGGATGTTACACCTTGTATGTATATTCTGTAAATATAGTAACTTGTGTGTTAAATGTTTTGTTGTGTGTATTGAAGAGTTTGTATTGTCATCTTTAATAAATATTTGTTTAAACAAGTGTGCCTGGATTTTTATTCTTTTCACCAAACCTGTGCCAGAGAACAAAGAATTAATGTGCCTCTAATTATACCAACTGCTCAGGTATATTCTGGAGAAATCACATACGTTGGGGGTTTAGAAAATGTATTTTACTTATTGACTAAACCACTTGGTCAATTCCTGATTTTCACTATTTTCATAATCCCCCATTTATAACAATATACTGCATGTCTTCTGGGTCTCTACACACTCATCAATTAAACTTAAAAAATTAACATTTTTTATCATCACATTTTTTTCACAGTGCTAGATAAAATAATGTCATTAGTCCTATTTGAACCAAAATGAATGCATCACTTTCATTATTTTATCCTTACGAAATGTTTTTGCTGTAAATGATACATAATGGCTGTCTTCCAGGTGGATGCTGCTCTTGCAGTGATGGATAGTCACTGAAGTCCCCTTCATTGTGTAAAGAACTATGGGAAAAGTGCTATATAATTGCTATATAAGTGCTATATTATTATTGTTGTTATTATTATTATCCATAAAATAAATATGAACAGTCTATGCATTCTTTACTCGATGTAAGAAGGTAGATAAGTACAGTGGCTTCCAGTGCTAATTTTTACCTTATGTTTGGAAAGTCATCAGAGAAAGATTGGGATGGAAATGTCCTGACTGACTAAATGTAAGGTTGAATATATGTGAGTTTTGGGAACTGTGAGTATTTGGAAGAATATTTTGGAAAATGAGCAATTTGAGAAAATGGAGACTTTGGGTTTATGGAGCTGGTAAAAAGTTTAACTTCATGCTGTTATGCTCGTTCTGCTGATGCAGTGCTCTCACTAAAGTCAGGTGCTCTGCATCAGCTATCTTCATGGCAATCAGGGCATGGCTGCCAGCAACTGCAACACACCATGCTACGGCACAGCAGGGCGAGTGTAATATATGGCTATTTATTTACAAGAAGTATAGATTGTGCTAGTGACGAGCTAGTGATTTGTTTTGGGGTTTTGAAGTAAAATACATGTGATTAAAAGAGCACTGATTTTTGTGTGTTAACATGTGTGTATCTGTCCTGAAATCTGCCTATTAAAAGATCACCACCCTGCCCCTGGGAGCTTTCCAAATAACATATCAGCCAAGGCCATGACTGCAAATTGAACCTATTGAAAAATCTGTAAGAATAACTGGATAAAACCTGTAGTAGAAAGTTGTCATGTTTCCTAATATTATGCAAGACAATCCTGCAGCTCTTACCTGTGCCAGGTGACCTCTGGTTCAGGAGAGCCATAGGCCCTGCAGGTCAATGTCACAGACTCTTGGTAATCTGCCGTGGCATTGAAAGACTGCTGTGGCACGGAGAGAACTGGAGGGACTGAACAAGAAAAGAAATAAGAGACTTAATTTCCAGAATCTGGTCACCATCGAAATATTATGTGAAAATCAAATGTTTTATCTCTCATAGTGTGCAGCTCGTACTTGTAAGAAAATGTGTACAATATAGCACAGTTTGGTTTATCTTGTTTTATTTTCCTCTTTGAAGGATAAAACATTAGATGTAAAATGAGTTATATTGTTGGGTCAATATCCCTAATATGTGGTTAAAGTGCTCAGGATGAATCAAGTAAAAGGCTGTCTCTAAACACAGATGCCATAATTCTCTTTTACTGCAAACCCATTAATATGGAAAACATTGCATTTTTAAACCTTGCTTTTCAACCAATTTAAGTTAATATGCTATGTCTAATAATATGGACACTGAGTTAAAGTTACATAATTCAGTGAAAGTATGTTCACTGTTCTTCAAGAGTAGTTTGCATTGCTGTATTCTTTTCCTCACATTCATTCTTTATGCAACAATTTATGATGATCTTTGAAAAATGTACCTTTTTGCTTTAAGCTAATGTCCGATCCTATCTGTGCATTGTAGTATAAAAGCACCCTTTCAGTTTTATGTGAACTAATGACATGAGACGCCGAATGATTGCTCAAGTGATTCAAACATTTTGATTGTGAGTGGATCCAATTCAAGCAGTCTTCTCTCTTTGATATGAAAAAGTTTTATTTAAAAATTGTGAACAGATTTTTAAATTAGATCTGGCTAGTATATAGTTCAACTTAAACATAACATAACATTGGAACTCCAAATTGCCTTAGAATTTCTGGGCAGCTGTGTATATATGCACATGAACAAATGCATCTATTTTTTAACTGTTTAATCCAATTCAGGGTCTGGGAGAGCCAGATTCTATACTGGCAAGCAACAGTAGCTTTCAGGGAGTGCCCATGTGAACACAGGGAGAACATACAAATTTCCCACAGACAGAACCCCAGGCAAGGAATTGAACTCAGGGCTGTGAGGCAGCAGTGCTAATCACCATTTCACTATGCTGCCAAAATGCAAAAATTAAAGTCTGAATATATATTTTATTCCTTATTTATTATTTATACACCTTTTATTGTCTGTATTCCCTTTAATTTGTTACTGTTGCAATCCAATCAGTGAAAGAATGTACAGATGCAGCCATTCAAAATGGGTGAGGTATTTCGCGGCATACCGCGACACGCCCACCGGGGTATCACGCGGTTCACGTGTGTCACGTGACTAACTATCCGGTGTCACCTTGTAAAACCACCAGGGGGAGCTTAACCTCTCATGTACAGCATTTGAGCCTTTAATTTTGAACTGTGTATTGCAGCATGTTAATCAT